GATATGTCCCGGAAAGGGATATATTTGTTCGATGTAACAAAATGGTTGTTGACTACTGTAACCGGGTAGGACAATCTAGCAAGTAACCGTAATGGACTGGTCCTCGTCGTAGTGGTAGGCAATAGGCGTAGGCAATAGACGAAGACTATAGGCGTAGCCAATAGGCGTCGTCGTGTACCTCCACACCAGTCTGTATTTATGGCTGACACCAACCAATCATATTATTGTGAGGGGGAACCCAGGTGTATGCATATTCATTAGCTCAGTTTGCTAGCTCAATTACGACTGAGTAAGGAGTTCGATCAACATTGAGTGCTACGTACTTTCGGCCTTGTGTCACATGTAAGTTACACTTAGTAAATTACTCTGTGTTTGTTTCGATAGGCGCAGACAATAGGCGTCTATGTACTTCCACATCAGTCTGTATTTATTGCTGACACCAACCAATCATATTACTGTGAGGGGGAACCCAGTTGTATGCATATTCATTACATCACATATTCATTACATCAGGTTTTATGATTATGCTCTTATAATAGATCAGAATGTAATATGAGAATTATTAATGTACTAATAATCTCTATCTATAAAACGCAGGATGTGTGTGTGTGTGTGTGTGTGTGTGTGTGTGTGTGTGTGTGTGTGTATAACGAATGCACGACCGCATTTTTCGACGGATTTGCACCAAAATTTACATGAACATGCTCCAAGTTAGCGGGAAGGCCAAGACCGACTTTGCATTTCTCAACTCCCATAGATAGTAGAAATAATCAAATTTTTCATGCTTCTACAGCAGTTTTCATGGAGACTGTAGCCATTTTCTTCTGACCAAAGTGAGAGCCTATAGCTGGCTGCCACAAATAGGCAGGAAGATTCTATTGGCCAGCGTGAGAGTCAGCCCCGTACTGACACGAATGTTAAATAGCATCCTAGCATGCAAAAAAAATCGATAGCTGCATTCGTCACAAGTGGGAAAAATTTAAATCTGCATGGCACTTTACTCCAATTGGCTCATTCGCTTGCTTAAACTCAACGTTGATTCTGATTCCGCAGAACTGGTTTAGGTGTGAAAAAGTCTTTGTTGTTAACATTCTTTTTTCATTCGGTTTTTCCAGTTACGAGTCCTTTTTTAAAGCTGATCGTTTTGTGTTCATTTTGTTCAGTTCTTTTTCCGTAACTGATTTAATGTTTAGTATAGAGCTTAGAAAAAATTCGCAGTGTGAGATAGGCAAGAAGTAAGGCATGTAGCAACATCAGCACGGCAAATGTCACTCCTTTAAAGGCACGGAAGAGCAAAAATATTTTATGTCAAGTGATAGCGATTGCTGTATGTGTCGTACGATTTTTGAATCAAGCACGGGCAACGCTGGGCCATGCTGCTAGTATGATATACATAACCGTCATTAATTAATGAACTAATCTGTGAATGTGGTGTATTCATATATGAATCTTTTCTGTCGTCCATCATCACCATGGCTAATGTTATACACCAGGAGAGAAACGCATTATAACATTTTGGCCTCACGTTTTCTACTGATATGATGCGGAGCGTCTATACTGAATCAAATTCTACTGCAAGGAAAGTTGGTTCTACATTATTTTGCCAGAAAGTTTTTTAGCGTCACAAAGCTTCTTGCATATTTATAAATCTACCAATCATCCGTGCACTGAATAGCATTGAAATATCTCGTCTGGTGCCTCTGTATATCTCATCGGTATTCTTTACAAAATACAAAGAACGGTCTATAATGGAATCGATACTGACCTGGAACCCAAGATTCACTGTTTCCGATTCATAGTATATACCCTTGCCTAGGACATAGATGAAGTGAATATGTTTTCTAATAAATGTAGTATTTTATATGGGAAAACAATTTAGATTTGAAATTTAATCATTTTGCCATAAGAAAATGACAGATATTGAACTAGTATCAAATGAAAGATATTTATATTATAATTTGCATTAGGTGCAAACTGTGTGATCCATTTAGTGTAGAAACATGCATAAATGTAGGTAACATATTTCTTTTTTTAAATTATTTCACACGAAGCAAGGCAATAAAGCCACTAAGATGCAAGAGGTTAATGCATATCAGAGAATCTGATAAAAATATACTATTAAGGAGAGAGGACAATAAAAGGACAAGAATTAAAAACACAGAAGATATCAATTGACATTGCATTTTAAAAAAATAATTTCTTCCCAAGCATGGAAACAAAGTCACTGAATGTGAAAGAATATAAGAAAAATTAAAAACTTTATTAAGGAGTGAAAATAATGACATAACAGAAACTAAGTAGACAAAAGATAATGATTGACACTACATTTAAATTTTGAAGATCAATGTTGACAGAGAAGCAAGAAGCTGCAAGAGAGTTCAACAAGTGAGAAGTGCAATAGAAGAAACTGTTAGCATAGCATTTATAGTTTCAACTGTAAAGTAATGAGACCTAGTTGCCAATCTAGTACTGCACTTAAATTCATAATGTCATTGTTGTTCATGATGACGGTCGTCTTCGAGTATAGAATCCAGAGGTTAGAAGTGAATATTTTGAAGACAGTAGGGAAGCGTTGTTCAGGTTAGCAGTGGATATCCCGGTAAAAGTAGCAGAGCGTAGTTCTTCCTTCTGTTTCTCTTCGACTGACAAGCTGGTACTGGACATTCAGGTAGAGTAAACAAAATGGCCGCCTTTATACACGACGGATTGAATATTCTATGTCTTCTGATTGGTTAACCTTCCATTGGTGGACTATAAAGTGAGTCAAGTCATTTGGGTTGGCTCACTAGTAAATATATATGCACAAAAAACTCCAACAGTCACTCCATTATTAATATAAAACGACCGTAACTTGAGAACTGGCCTCTGTTTTCGTGCCGAATTCTGGTGTGTTCTAGAGCAAAACCTCGCGTCGTTCAAATGTGAGTCACACTTTGATGAATGTTGACGTTTTGTCCACAAATAATTGCCTTAAATATGGTGCACAAAAAGTTCCCCTTTCGCCATATTATGCTCTATAGATTTTGGAAAAGAGTAAACATCAAAACCGCGCCAGAAATCATTCAGGCGTACATTTCTACAAATATTAACTCTTCTTGTGATCTTTTTTTCTTATTGGTGCTCCGATTACATTAATTTAAACGTGCTACTAGATTGGCAATTAGGTCACACTTTTTTTTACTGTTGAAATAAATGTTATTTTATGTTATATTTTAACAGTTTCTTTCCTCATACCCTTCTGATTTTTTTCTTCTCTGATATCTACAATCATCAAAAATTAAATGCAACGTCAATCGCCATCTTTTATTTTCTTGAAACCTGTTCCTTTTTTTTTGTCCTTTCATCATTCATCTCCACTAAAGTCTTAACATTCTCTTTCCCTCTCTATATCCCGATGCGTTCTAGAGGCATTATTGCCTTATTTGAGGTGAAAAGATTAAAACAATGTGAATACATTAACTATATGTTTGCCAAATTTTACCTGTCCTTAGTGAGAACCTCATATGCTATGCGACTTGTATTTTCCTATATATGTAGAATTCTTTCTAACCGAGCGTAACTAAATATCTATAGATTCTTAAAGTGTAATTGAAAAACATATCCGACGCATGCGCACACTGAAAGAAAACTAGCTGGGAAAAGTCAGGTTGAAATGACGAAGACAATCTATTCGAGAACATTTACTTATAGTAACTTTTTCTCGGAAAATTACTTTTTGTACAAAATTGATATCTATTTTTTTTCTTGCATTTTTTTTACATTTACTTTTCCTATTTTTACGAATTTTCTGCGAGGCAATGTTGGGAATGAATAAGCATTCAAATGAAATGTGTTTTTCAGAATGGCGACGGAAGATCGTTTTGTATAGATATTTACTGTTGTGAAGACACATGTGCTACGCAATAGTAAAATACTTCCAGGGAGGCTAAAATCAGTATATTACAGAATGGATATAAGTATATTTTGCAGTATATAAGGTGTTAAAATTTATGAATTTAAGTTAAGCCTAGGAGGAGGAGAAAGAGGAGGAGAAGAAAAAGAAAGACAAAGAGATCGTTTAAGTGTTGAGTCTATGTGCATGTATTTCTTACTTCAGTTTTTGATTGTCATGTCTTTATTCACAAACGGGTGATTTTTTCATTTTTTAAATGTTATTTCTATGCTAAAGAAGAAGAAGAAGAAGAAGAAAAAATTCTATTTCTATGTTAAAGGCTGATATATTTTCGGCTATCTTCCGTTTCACATACTCCCGCTGTCTTTTGCCCTGGAGTAGAGTTCTATCCCTTGTTTCCTGTTTAGGATTGGGTTTCCAGTTCCTTCTAAAGGTCTTTTTTGTCTTAATGTTCACTTCCAGTATCTCTTTGCGTTTTAATGGCGTTATTGCCAAGCTTAGACAGAATTGATTAAAAAAATGTTCCCTTTGCTTGTCGTCCCTGCATTCTTGTGAGTATATCATTAATTCCACAGACCACAACGCTAGAGCTCAAAACACTAAAATACAGCTGTAACCGAGAAAAGCTTACTGAATGAGGAATAAACAAAATGGACGTTGAAAATGAAATGGTAATCTTTATAACATCAAAAAAATACAATACTCACCAGCGGCGTGAAATAGGTCAATCACTGTTACTGGTGGACTACTCAGCATATTACGATACTTACCTGCATTCCCACGAGGTAGGATGGAGCACAAGGTGAAATTTAATGTGGGGAAATCCGAGCCAGTTGTCTCGGGGAAAAATTGCCCGTAGACTCCGCATACGCGGTAACAGGTATCTGCCTACTTCCCCGGGTAAGACTCTGCCCTTTGGCATAGCCTCGTCTGGGTTCTTCTCTGCCCAAAGGCAGAGGGTTTGGCACGTCAGGTACTTCCAACGCTGGCAGCTCACGCTGACAGCTTAGGCAGCATATTACCCCACTTACAATAGTGTCCAACGTATTTATAAGGATTGGGATATATCCATTAGTGTTCATATATACGCTATATAACACTATCTCAGTTCAGGTTTTATCTATCTATCTATCTATCTATCTATCTATCTGTCTGTCTGTCTGTTGTGACCCAGAAAAGGTTACTGAATGAGAAAAAACTAAAACGGAGATTCAAAATGAAATGGTAATCTTTATAACATCAACAATATACAATACTCGCCAGCGGTTTGAATGGGATATATCCATTAGTGTTCATATATACGCTATATAACACTATCTCAGTTCAGGTTTTATCTATCTATCTATCTATCTATCTATCTATCTATCTATCTATCTATCTATCTATCTATCTGTCTGTTGTGACCCAGAAAAGGTTACTGAATGAGAAAAAACTAAAACGGAGATTCAAAATGAAATGGTAATCTTTATAACATCAACAATATACAATACTCGCCAGCGGTTTGAAGTAGGAAAACCACTGCTAGTGATGGACTACTTAGACACCTTATTATCTCCACTTACAATAGAGGACTGGGACATACCCATTAGTGTTCACACGGACAGTATATAACAACAACGAAACCATATTTCGATATTACATAATCAAGCGTAGTTTAGTATATCAAATTCTTCTAATGTTTAAAACATTTTCTCCTTTCCTTCTTTGCGACCCCTATAGACTAATTTCCCTTAAGAAAATCCCGGAAGAAGAGAACAATAGAAAATATTGTTTAAATCATTGCGTCGGTCACTCTGTATACAAGCTCACGCAGTGGGTTCTTTTTCATTGCTGACCATATATATATATATATATATATATATATATATATATATATATATATATATATATATATATATGCATGCAAGAGCGTAAATATACGTTGCATTTGCTTGGCTTAATTTCCATCATCAGTTTGACATGGCAAATTATCTTACTGTCATTTACGAATACGGATGCGCAAACATGTCATAATGGAAACAGGTTCATACTATCAAATTTATGTTTGCCTACATATCAGGATAGAATCGCAAACTGCCCATTATCTTTGCTATAAACTCAATTTAACGAAGAAATTAAATAAACTGTTCGTATTCCTTAATGACTAACACAAGTAGCAATGTAAATTAGCAACTTTACTATCGAAATTTTGTCGTGACTTTAAAATTCATGTTATCAATTCAGTTTTTAGTGACAATTATTTCCCCATTTACACAATTTATATTTCGTTTTGCCGTTTGGGGCCTTAATGTGTGCAATGTTTATTTTTTTTCTTTTTACCTTATTTCATTCTGTATTTAATTCATGCATCATTTTTCAATTCTAGTTGGTGGAGAGAAGTCAGCTGTTCCATAAATTGCTGTTAATGTATATGTTTAATTGGTGTGAAGTCTGAAACGTGTGTTCGCTTTTATAAGGGAAATTTGACTAGCGGTTTGTGATGTAATTAAAATAACTGAAAAATATTGTTACACTCAATTTGTCCGTTGAAATGGGCGGCAAAATTACCTGAAAATATGAACTTTTTTCACCCGCGCAATGTTTTTAACTTCAATAAATAACAAAAGGAAATAATAAAGAATATGCTTATTTGCTTAATTTGCCGAAATGTCCATATGTTTTGTCTTTGTTTCTTTATTATATTTGTATTTTACGTCATATTATCTGAACTCATCTTATCTTTTTCGTGTCCCGTTTTCTATATTTCTCACCGTTATTTTACCTATCTATTTTTTTACCATCTATTTTGATACAGGACTTCTTTTAGTTTCGTTGTATCTTTGCGTTTTATTTTGTTCATTTATTTGTCCAGTTTCTCTATTGTTTTATCTCTCTGTCTCTCTTTCTTTTCTTTTTCAATTTCAAATTTAGTTTCTCTTTTACTTCGATTTTCCGGCATTTAGCTATATTATTTTCTCTTCATTTCTTTTTGTTTTTCGTTTTCCCTCTCTTTTCTCTTTCAGTTTCTCTGAGTTTCTCTTTCACTTTCATTTTACGTTTTTCTTTCTTTTTTTTTTTTTTTGGTTCTCTCTCCTTTTCATTTTTCTATCACTCCATCTTTTAGTTTTTATCTTTCACCTTGTTTTCTCTTTCTTTGTTTACTTTTTCAGCGTTTTTTTTTTCTTTCTTTCTCTCTCATTCTTATAAAGATTTCTTTTCGGATTCAATTTCTTTGCTTTCAATTTTCATTCAGTTAGTTTTCTTTTATACATTATTCATTCTTTCAGTTTTGTTTTTTTAATTTTCTTATCTTTTCAGTTTCCAATCATTTTTGTGTTCAATATCTCTTTCATTTTTCATTTCCTCTTTTTTTATGTTTCGTCTTTATCGCTTACACATTCTGTTTCTATTTCTTCTCTCATTTAGTTTCGTTTTATTCTCTTTTAGTTTCTCATCCCTTTCTGCTTCATTTTCTATCTCAGCTTAACATTCATTTTTCACCTTCTCTTCTTTTTCTATATCCCTTTCTCTCTCTTTTTTATTTCCTTTTTTTCAGTCTCGTTATCTTCTTCGATTTCCCTTTCTTTTTATTTTCTATTTCTTGTTTCTCACTTTCTCCTCCTCTTCTTTTTCTATTTCCATTTCTCTTTATTTTCCACTTCCTTTTTCTCACTTTCTCCTTCTCTTCTTTTTTATTGCCCTTTCTCTTTATTTTCTACTTCTTTTTTTTCACTTTCTCCTTCTCTTCTTCTTCTATTTCCTTGTCTCTTTATTTTCTACTTCCTTTTTTTCTCTTTCTCGTTCTTTACGTTTATTTTATCTTTTCTTTTCTCTTTCATTTTGTTCACTTTCTCTCTTTTACGCTTCCCCTTGTCTTTTTTTTAAAATTCTCTTTCTTTTCTATTTCATTTTCTCTTGCTTTTATTTTTTTCTATTTTCACTTTCAATTTCACTACGTCTTCAGTTTCCGTTTATCCTTTATTTTATTTTTACTTTCACTTTCAATTTCACTACGTCTTCAGTTTCCGTTTATCCTTTATTTTCTTTTTACTTTCACTTTCAATTTCACTACGTCTTCAGTTTCCGTTTGTCCTTTATTTTCTTTTTACTTTCAATTTCAATTTCATTACGTCTTCAGTTTCCGTTTCTCCTTTATTTTCTTTTTACTTTCACTTTCAATTTTACTACGTCTTTAGTTTCCGTTTCTCCTTTATTTTCTTTTTACTTTCTATCACGTTCCCTTCCTGTTCTTGTCCATCGCCTTCCTTTTCTTTTTCTTTCTGTCTTATTCTATATGTTCTCTCATTTTTTCTTCTTCTTTCACTTTATCTTATTTCAAGTATTTCCTCTTATCTTATTTTTCTTCTCCTCTATTTTGCATCATCACTCTCTCCCATCGGGACGCCATATATTACACTCCAAAATGTTTCTTCAAACAAGATAAAAGACTTTCAAAATGTTAAATTTCATTAGGATTCTTTATTTTGGCATAACTTAAGTCTAGTTCACACTTCAATAGTTTAGGTCTCTCTGGTGCCAAGTCCAAGACAAATATCTATAAAGATTCTGTTTTGGAAAAACAAATTATCACCTTTTGTGGTCTTTGTTATTGTCTCAACCTTAAGAAAGTTTTCTATGATTAAGAATGTCTTTCAAAAAGATTAACAATCGAAACATTCCCAAGCGATAATCTGCTGTCCAGACTAACCAATAAGCCTTTCAGTATTTCCTACTAGTAGTTACTCATTTGTGTTGTCAATAGGGAGTCCTAACTAAATCATTCTGACGCCTGCTATAAGTGAGACGCGAAGTTTTCAATAGCAACATTTGACCATTGTTAAGGAATTGTTACAAGTTTCGGATATGTTTTATCATTTTATTCTTTAAGTGATTCTATCAGAATTTCTAGGAGCGACGTATTACTATCTTTTAGACTATTTACACATGTATTAAAGCCTACATCTCCGTTGTTATTGCCACAGAGTCTAGGCTGTTCTGCCCTCTGGCTTTCATCAGGTATATGTTGATCATGTTAAGCTGTAGGGAATTTCGAAATGAATCATACGGGGTGATAGTTCTCATGTTAATTTTCCCTCTGAAAGTTCTCCACTGCCTTAAACGGGTATTGAACTCACACTCTTTGGGTCCTGTCACGCCTTTATCCACTGTGCCATGTGTCCTTGAGAACTGAAGAGGAAAATTAATACGAGATAACTAATAACTGATATCCATTAGACATGGCACATGGAACTAGAACAGTCTACCCTAGTGAGCGAAATAAAGGTTTCAGTCCGACATTCCAACCACATGAAAAAGGCCGGAGCGTACAACGGCCGAAAGGTTGTAATAAATATTGCGACAAAGATGAGAACAATAGTCCGAATAATGTAAATAATGTACATAATAACTCTTCCCAGAAATATAGACAGATAGTGTTGAGGCTTACCCATAAGTTTACTTTTAATTCTAAAATTATGCCCTTCTTTAACTTATGAAAAGAGGTAAAGTGTTATTTTTTTTTTTTTTTTTTTTAATTTCCTGAAATAAATCATTTTTATCATTTATTAGAATAAAATATTATGTTATATACCATATATATATATATATATATATATATATATATATATATATACAGGTACCATCTTATTACTGTCCTGGAATTGAGTTCTACCTGCATTCTATCCCCATGGAAATATATATATATATATATATATATATATATATATATATATATATATATATATATATATATATATATATATATATATATATATATATATATATATATATATATATATATATATATATGACGTGCAAGGTCGATTTTACTGTTTTTAAACGACAATTCTCCATAAAATCAACATTGATAACCGAAAGGCTCCTGTTATAGGATACAGGTTCGATTCCTGTCGGAGGACGCATATTTTCTATGAAAATTTATCGGACATTCAGGCCGGAAAATGTCGTTAATACTGTTTATTATAAACAGATCATTTACTTAAATATTTTTATCTATAGAAAGAACGTATAAACATAAAAATAATGTCTTAAAATTATTCTTGAACTTTGTCTATTTAATTATATATATATATATATATATATATATATATATATATATATATATATATATATATATATCAGTATTTTTTTTTCGAAAAATTTGATATTATTTTCTATTGCTATAAACATTGTCTGGGATACACGTTTTTGAGTTTGAATGCTTTTTTTTGCCGTTGCTGTTGTTTTTATTTATTTACCGACCCAGAGTTAAAAAAAATCTTTTTAACGAAATATATGCATGTATATCTATGAAAACAATCATGTATCACGTTTTCATCATGTAGAACATATTTTATTTCAAGAAGACGATAACAAAAATGTTTTAAATTGACTTGATTATATTTTTTCACAAAACTCGTTCCCAGACTGCATGAATTTAAGCGAGCTACTAGGCTGGCATCTCGGTTGCACCCTTTCACTGTCGAAACGGTTAAATGCAACCGTCTCTTCTACTCAAACAGCTTCTTCTCTTGCACTTCCCGTCTGTGGAACTCCCTTCCTCTTACTTGCTTTCCTGATAACTATAATCTTTCAATATTCAAGTGTAATGTCAATCGACGTCATCTAATACCCTGATCGTGTTCCCCGTCCTTCTCTGTGTCCTTTCCTCAAACACGCCTCTTTATTCTTTTTCTCAATCCTCTGTAACCCCTTGCGTGCTAGTGGCACTCCTGCCTTGCTTGGAGTAAATTGCTTAAAAAACATTATTGAGGTTTCATTACTAGTCATTGGCATTTCCGCTTTCTCCATATCAAATGTGATAACAAATTTATTACAAACTTCTTGAATAAAAACTATCGATTAAATTTATGCAGCAAATGAACCGTTTTGATGTAATATGCCTTTTCTTAATATTAATTTCTATCATAACTGATGACAGTCTGTTAATGGCTGCGATAAAACACCCAGTAGTTTTGAAACCTGAAGCTACACGTTTATAATTGACTTATATTTGCATTATTGTGTTCTAATTAGTTCTAACTTTTGCTAGCGTATGGTTTCTTTTAATTAAATATAAGCAAGTATTGGAGATACATCGATGTTTAAATGGAATTTCTACGACAAACTTCTTTTAATGAAAACAATTTGTTAAGAAATAAGCATTGGAAACACATCAGCTGCGTAAAGCCTACAGGCAAAATCCCACAAAAATCTTAATAAATTAATTTTATTTCTGTCAGATATTGTGATTTCCATCATCACCAACTCCTGTTGTTTGGCTTAGTAATATTGGAGTGGTGCATAATTATTAGGCGTTTTTTAAAACAATATTTATTATAAAAAAAAGAAACTTAACAATTCAACAATTACATCTTTTAAATGATTATTCCCGAGCGCAAGTTTATCGACACGCATTTTTATAAACTGAAAATAAAATAATATTTTTATTACAAAAAGTAAACAAAACAGCAATTTTTATTTAAAAAAAAAAACTGGCCTACAAAAACGCTTGATAATTACGCACCAACTCAATAACAAAGACAAATCCATCATTTTTTTCTTCTTTTTATGTGCCATGTCCTTTCAGCGCGAAGGTGATCATGGCTCTTCACCTACCTCTATCCTTTGCAGCTCTCAACAAGTTCCTTCCCTCTGGTTCCTCAACAGACCACTTTTTGTCAACCACTTGCTTAAGTCCGTCAGTTATGTCACGTGTTGTTTTCCCTTGTCTCTCTTTGCCTCTATTCGACCCGTGAGTATCAGATTCACCAGGCCCTCCTTCCTCATTATGTGACCCAGAAACATCAGCTGCTTCTTCCTGATATTAAGTATAAGCCTCTTCTTTGTTTGCCACCTACGTAAGACTTCATCGTTGCTCACACGCTCGGTCCATGATATCCTTAGCATCCTTCTGTAGAACCACATCTCAGTCGCCTCGAGTCTCTTCTTTCATCTTTGAGGAAACCCTCCAACATTCGCTGCCGTATAGAAGGACAGATGTCACGTACAGCTCAGTATTCTTTTCTTTGTTACCAAAGAAATCCTCCTGTCTCGCAGTGTTCTGCCTAATTTTTTGGAATATGTCCTTGGCCATCCTAATACGTCTACAGATCTCAGTGTCACACTGTTAAGACGCTACTCAGATATTTAAACTTTCGCGGCCTCTTGAGTCTAATGTTCCCCGCCTTCAAAACGCATTTCGGGCTTAAACTGTTACTGATGATCATGCTCTCATTCTTGTAGTTTATGCTTAGTCCTTTCTTCTCACACTCCGTCACTAATGTGGTTTTATGTGTATCACTGAAATTCTCTCTGATGCCTTTATTTTGATCATTATAACTCTTTTTCCTTTCGTTATACCAATCGAACTTCTTCAGGTTTCTGTCGATGCGGGAAAATTTTGAGGGAATTGGAAATTATCCGTTTATTTAATATACGGTATTACATTATCTTTCGACTGACAATGTTTAGCGATATCTCATGCTGTTATTATCCACCCCCCCGAGTTTTTGGAAGGTAAATCAGGTAAATAATATTAATTCATCATCTCAGCAGACATATCGACAGCAATTAAAATTGTTTTGTCTTTTTTTGATGTCTTTGTTTATTGTGAATTAATCAGAATGCTGTTTTTTTCTGTGATATATATATATATATATATATATATATATATATATATCCAGGCGTCTCGATTTTAATCATTTTCTCACCAATATGGCTTTCCTCTGATTCTTCTACAAATACTTTCATGGCAACTGTTGTGATTATCTTTTCACTCTTGTCGCAGCGGTTCGTCGAATGAATTACCTCGAGTTAAACTTACATCTTACCAACGGAATGATGTTGGTCCGCTACAATGTGCGTAAGGTTCGAACTCAGGGAACTAAGGGATGTTCTGCTAAAGACTTTCCATGGAAAGGCAGTTCGAGTTGCGGGAGACTTCCCAAGTTTCGTCTGTGAGAAAGCTGGAAAATAATTCCTCACCCACAAGGACACGGATAGGCTTTTGAGCCTGGAAAGTGAAAACTCAGCAACTTCTGATCATATTTGGCATCATTCCTCTATTCTTAGTCTTGTAAAGGCAGAGTATCGTTTCAGGAGTCAGGTACTTACTGGAATGTCGAAGCTAACCGACATTTTTTACAGCGTCTTTAGCGATGGATCCTATGTACGAGTTGCATTTGAATTCTGAGTTAAGCTTAAGTCACAATAGACATCCAAAATATCCTTTATCGTGATCGGCGAATGCTCGTAGTTTGGTAAAGAGCAAATATTACTTTCTAAATAGAGGAAGTTGGGAAGAGCCATCACTGAATACACTCTGTAAGGATACAACACATAAAAGATATGGCTATTTCGCAAACAGTCTTATACAAAGGGTATTGTTTTTCCTTTCGATGTCAAAATACAGTGAAATCACATTTTTGAAAGTGAACGTCCCTA